TGTATCTTTGTATTTTCTTCTTTCCTTTCTTGAAGTTCTTTGTGACTCTTGGAAGATAAGTGTGTTTGTCTTCCACTTGTAAATTTTCTACTGATGAATTAATGAAAGTGTTATTGATAAAAAAAAAGAGTACCATTCCAAAGGTTAAAGTCTCAAAATGTTAAATGTCTGAATTGGCTTCTGATACTCACACAGTGAATAATCTGCAGATGGCCAATATACATTAAGTTTTGTTCAATCACCCATTACATCTGAATATCTCAAGACTGGAAAGCAAATCCCAAGCAATCCAACCCGAAAGTTCAAGATCAAAGTTCGGTCTTTGCATCATGTGCTCTATGTTAGTTTGGTATTTTCATCTGCAATGCAAACCCAGACCCAACAGTTGAGAAATCAGGAAACCTTTGTGCCAAAAATCTTCAAGGCCTAAATGATTTGAATATGAGCCACTAAAGAAGGCCTGAAGCCTCATCAGACGGGAAGGCTGTTTCCCCTCAAGCACCAATGTTCTCAATATCAGCACCTTTGTCCATCCTTTTCACGATGCCAGCAATAACCTGATAAATGATTCAGCAAAAATTAATCATTATCCAAAAAGCCTTTATTAGATGCATATCTATTGCTGCTTTGACCATAAGCTAAACACTGTAACAGTTTCCCGTCAGATTGCTTACTTTTCCTGGTCCTAACTCATAGCTCTTCTTGAGCCCTTTAGCTAAGAGATTCTTCACTGTTGTCTCCCACTGAACTGGAGAAGTAACCTGCACTTCAAGGTTAGAAGTCTAATCAATTGCCACAACAAACAAAAGATAAGGAAATAATCAAATTTGAAGAGGCCCACCTGGCATGCCAATATCCTCTTAATTGTATCAGGATTTGCATGTGGCTGTGCATCTACATTTGATATGACTGGTATTCTTGGGGTTCTGATTTCTGTCAATGCCAAAGCAGCTTCCAATCTTGAAACAGCTGGTTCCATAAAACTAGTATGAAAAGCACCGGCAACAGCTAATCGTACCTGGGATAAGAGAGAAGTTGCTATAAGGAACTTGCCTTTCAAATATGCAAGCCTTCCAGCTTTGGATGGCATAAGCCAGCATAATTTTCTGAAACTAGTCCACACTAGCATATCATGTCTGCTACATGGTTGAGACGTCAAGTTTGGCAACAGCAGCAGTTTACACCTTGAAGTTTTTACCAAAATGCCAATAAAGAAACAAGCAATCAAATAGAAAATAACTGGTTGAGAAAACTTACTGTCATCCGAGCCTTGAATGACTTGGCCTTGGCTTCAACTGCTTCCACTCCTTTCACACCTCCAGAGACAGCATAATTGCCCTGCAATTATAATTTATGAAGCCTAGTCCATCTCAAAGTCCAACCAAGTCAAACAGCAGGGTTTGTCAATCAATTAGAAAAGACCAAATATAAGTCTTACAGGACATAGGAAATTTGCAATCTGAACTTTGTTTTCCTCATCTACTTCTGCATTGGCTGCTTCACATAATAGTTGCACCTTTTCTGAATCCAGTCCTATGACACTGACCATGGCACTTTTAGCAGCATCAGCTGCTTCCTAGCAAAAGCCATTTAAAGGCATGATCACTAAAAGGATTCCTGAAACCACTATGAATAAGTAAAACATTAACTTTAGATAGGTACCTGCATTGCTTCTCCACGTAATTTGACCAGCTTCAATCCATCCTCAAAGCTTACAAGTGGTTTTTTTTTTTGGAGGGTGGGAGAAGCATTAGAGTCAGCATTAACAAATGAGACCAAAAGGAGGAAAAAAAAATCAAATAAAAAAATAAAAGAAAAGGAGACCAATAGAATATAAACATGCACCGACATTAGATAAGGCACACTTGTTAATGGGTTTTTGTGGGTATGTGGGTGGGTATTATGACGCGGTGATTAATACCAGAGACAGAGAGGGCTCTTTGCAGTTCACAACCTAGAGCTTCTTGATTTGAACTGCATGCAAGGCCACAAACACACTTTATTCTAAACTGCCTAATGAAAGTTCTGAAGCATGAAGTGGCTCTAAAGAAAATATCACTCACAATTTAATTTCTTAATTGACATATATGTGCTTACCTGAATGCCCCAGCAAATGCAAGAGCAGTGTATTCTCCCAAACTCAGACCACAAGTGACATCTATAGAATCAATTATCTGCTGGCCTCCATCACGAGCACGCAATACTTCAACTGCAGCCAGGCTTGTGACATAGATGGCTGGCTGGAAAGACATAATCAAATGTGAAACCATGACAAACTAAGAAAAACTAAAAATCCTTAGAACCAGCAATAGAACAATTCAATTCAATGTAATTTATTGTGGAAGAGTGATTCTTCTATACATAACTTATTGGGCATTGTTTAAGATCATTAAGCATTAAGACTGCATATTCAGGTGGAGAACATGAGTTCGATTTACATGCATGTGCTACAATGGTAAAATTTAAAGTAGAATATAAAGCATTAAAATAACATATTGCTTTTCCACTGCAAACAACAATGAATTAATCGTGGGTATGAAGACATAAAAGAATTAGACCTGGCTTATAACAGTTGAATCCAGCTTTTCCTTTGGTCCATTTGTGCAGATATCCAGAAGATCAAAACTGCATTAAAAAAATATCTACATGAATACTCATAATAATGATTTTTATATAGAGAGAGCATGCTAAAGCAAAAGAGCAAGTATTTAACACTAAGAAATGCAAGTTATAGAAAAAGCATCGAAAAGATCATATTTTATTTTGGTTCACTTCACCCAAGTATGTCATTTGCTTTCTTGTACAAGTTAGCAGCAGCTGGTACATTTTGAGCCTCCTTACCCATTCCAACAGCCTGTGCACCCTGAAACATGAAAACCATAGATTATAGAAAGGCCCCTAAAATAGCAAACAGAGCCATCACATGACATAATCATCCAAAACTGACTCCCAAATGAGCCCCATTCACCCAGGCTAGCTGAATTGACTGGATGAAATGACCTGCATGTTTCAGCAGGCATGGAATTAGTTTTTGATCCACTGATGTAATTGCTAACTGGTATGATGATCCAAGTCATATTACTTGTCGCCCCCTAGAATTTACTTGAATAGTTGAGCTCAGGATGAAAACAAAAAATCAAAACCTTTTTGCCCAGAAAATAAATATTTCTGGGATAAAAGGATTGCTACAACTTATTCTTTTTGATATATGATCCCAAATTCACCATAGTTCAACCAATGAAAAAAAACTAATATAATTAAATAAAAATGTATGGTGCAGGACAGTCTCCAAATGGAAAGGAAGTACTGCATTTGCATACTTGAAGAAGCTGAAAAACCCATGTTTCCACACTTTTATCAAGTGAAGTAAGATTCTCTGAAACAGGGAACACATGGCTGTCTCTTGGTTGGCCTGTTGGAGCAAAAGTGAACTTAAAAGAAGATGGAAAAGATATGAGCAGAGTCATTATTTCCACCCCAGTAAATAGAGGAGTCTCCCCTCAGGACAATCATGGTGCTAGGGAATAGGTAAATGATTCTATAATTGTATCATTATTTGGAAATAGAGAAATTTAGGTTTCTTTCAGGGAAAGAAACACTGACATGTAAAATAGACAAACAAATAAAAGGAAAATAAAATGAAGAAAATATACAATGTCTTTGAAAATCTTGTGGGCCCCAAAATTATAACCATATCTTCTTTGTATGAAGACTCCCACTTGGCCTCTTCTCAGAAAAGGAAAAGGAGAAAAGAGAAGAAACTAAAATTCCATTCTAGTAAATTCTTCAAATATGAGAATTGAATTATATGCATTTATGTATATAAACTCAAACCATTAGCAACTCGACCAAACCAAACTATTTGACGTGAACTATGTGAACCCTGTTCTACATTTCCACTGTACCAATTATCTATATAGCCTAAGAGGAGAAGACTCAGAGTGAAATAAACTCTAAATTCCTACACGATCATAAATTTTTTGATCTGTTAGGACAACTCTAAGATCAAACTGCTCCAAACCTGCATGATTAAAGCATACTCGGAACAACCATAAGCAGCACAAATCCAAAACAAAACCGAAACTCATCTGCTTCAATAGTAAAAGAACAGTAGAATGATGGTTCTCCAGTTATACAACCCTAAAATTTTGCCCAATAGTGAAAAGGGGTTCACTGAACAGAAAGCGAATGAACTTTTTTTTTTGATGAATAATAATAAGTTTATTGATTCAGAAGCAAATTAGAGTGAGTTCATAGATCATCCCAGTGAGAGGCGCGAGCTGCAGCCCCTCCTTGAAACTTACAAATAAACTAGGAAAGAAAACAAGAATCACAACTGAGCCCAAAATAATTCTTCCCTATTTACCCCTTGCTTAGCTAACACATCTGACAAGGTATTTGCTGATCTCCCCA